CAACACACAACAACACACAACAACACACAACAACACACAACAACACACAACAACACACAACAACACACAACACCACACAACAACACACAACACCACACAACAACACACAACAACACACAACAACACACAACAACACACAACAACACACAACAACACACAACAACACACAACAACACACAACAACACACAACAACACACAACAACACACAACAACACACAACAACACACAACCACAACAACACACAACAACACACAACAACACACAACAACACACAACAACACACAACAACACACAACAACACACAACAACACACAACAACACACAACAACACACAACAACACACAACAACACACAACAACACACAACAACACACAACAACAACAACAACAACAACACGAACACGAACAATACCAACACCAACAACACGACCAACAACACCAACACCACCAACAAACCCAACCACACCAACAACACTAACAACACTAACAACACCAGAAACACTACCACCACCAACAACACCAACAACACCAACACCACAACCACCACCAACCCTAACCACATCGCCGAAGCCTTTCAGTGGCTTTACCAGATTCCCCTTCATATTTTTGGAAAGAAAATGGCCGCGTCGCTTTTACCAGAATCCGCTTTATGTTTTTTTCCCTGCCCTTTCCCCTTCATTTTTTCTTCGGTTCCTTTCTTGCTTACCTACCTTTCGTGTTCCCCCTCTCAAGTCTATATTACATGTGTAAATGATGAAAAAGTGTAGAATCCATTGAAAATAACAGGCAATTGAGGCCCTCTAGGTATACAGATTGCAATTATGATTTTATGCAATTCTGCAGCTATTTGCAGACCTCCAGACTATTGTTCTTGCATTTTTTCCATGTTCTTACATTTGTTTCCGTAAAATGCAACTTGCAATATTGGACGCCCCCCCTGGAAAATAATTGCAAGTCGGTAAAACGTGGGGGTACATAATTGCAATCTACAAACCTATCAAAATGCAATCTTGCAATAAAGACGATGAAAAAAAAACAATTGTAAGCATACATTTTCATAGGTCCCCCCCCAAAACAACGTCTTATTGCAAGCTTGCATTTTGAGCCTCCCCCCTCCTTAAAAGGGTGGTGATTATATATATATGTGTGTATATTTATATATGTATACATAATTAATATATATATATATGGATATATGATATGAAGGAAGGGGAGTTGAGGATACACCAAGTGGGAGGCACATCGATTTACTAGACTGTTGCTGCTTCAATCCCTGCCACTGATTTAAAGAGGCTTTGTAAGCGTTTGGGGGTTTGAGAGCTTGAAACCTGGCAAACGGCACGCTTGCACGCCAATAAAAAGGTATTGATATGGGCCTTGGTGCCTTTGCCTGCGGGGTTGGGGGTGCCAAAAAGGCGTTTGGAGCGTTTGGAGCGTTTGGAGGGTTTGACGGCTGGCAAACGGCAGGCTTGAACGCCAATAAAAAGCTATTGATATATGGGCCTTGGTGCCTTTGCCTGCGGGGTTGCGGCTCCAAAAAGGCCTTTGGAGGGTTTGGAGCGTTTGGAGGGTTTGACGGCTGGCAAACGGCAGGCTTGAACGCCAATAAAAAGCTATTTGATATATGGGCCTTGGTGCCTTTGCCTGCGGGGTTGGGGGTGCCAAAAAGGCGTTTGGAGCGTTTGGAGTGTTTGGAGGGTTTGACGGCTGGCAAACGGCAGGCTTGAACGCCAATAAAAAGCTATTGATATATGGGCCTTGGTGCTTTGCCTGTGGTGTTGGGGCTCCAAAAAGGCCTTTGGAGGGTTTGGAGCGTTTGGAGGGTTTGACGGCCGGCAAATGGCAGACTTGAACGCCAATAAAAAGCGATTGATATATGGGCCTTGGTGCCTTTGCCTGCGGGGTTGGGAGTGCCAAAACGGCGTTTGGAGCGTTTGGAGCGTTTGGAGGGTTTGACGGCTGGCAAACGGCAGGCTTGAACGCCAATAAAAAGCTATTGATATATGGGCCTTGGTGCTTTGCCTGCGGGGTTGGGGGTGCCAAAAAGGCGTTTGGAGCGTTTGGAGCGTTTGGAGGGTTTGGAGGGTTTGACGGCTGGCAAACGGCAGGCTTGAACGCCAATAAAAAGCTATTGATATATGGGCCTTGGTGCTTTGCCTGCGGGGTTGGGGGTGCCAAAAAGGCTTTCGGAGCGTTTGGAGGGTTTGACGGCTGGCAAACGGCAGGCTTGAACGCCAATAAAAAGCTATTGATATATGGGCCTTGGTGCTTTGCCTGCGGGGTTGGGGCTCCAAAAAGGCCTTTGGAGGGTTTGGCATTGGAGGGTTTGACGGCCGGCAAATGGCAGGCTTGAACGCCAATAAAAAGCGATTGATATATGGGCCTTGGTGCCTTTGCCTGCGGGGTTGGGGAAAAGGCGTTTGGAGCGTTTGGAGCGTTTGGAGGGTTTGACGGCTGGCAAACGGCAGGCTTGAACGCCAATAGAAGCTATTGATATATGGGCCTTGGTGCCTTTGCCTGCGGGGTTGGGGGCTCCAAAAAGGCGTTTGGAGCGTTTGGAGGGTTTGACGGCTGGCAAACGGCAGGCTTGAACGCCAAGAAAAAGCGATTGATATATGGGCCTTGGTGCTTTGCCTGCGGGGTTGGGGCTCCAAAAAGGCCTTTGGAGGGTTTGGAGCGTTTGGAGGGTTTGACGGCCGGCAAATGGCAGGCTTGAACGCCAATAAAAAGCTGTTGGTATATGGGCCTTGGTGCTTTGCCTGCGGGGTTGGGGCTCCAAAAAGGCCTTTGGAGGGTTTGGAGCGTTTGGAGGGTTTGACGGCCGGCCAACGGCAGGCTTGAACGCCAATAAAAAGCGATTGATATATGGGCCTTGGTGCCTTTGCCTGCGGGGTTGGGGGTGCCAAAAAGGCGTTTGGAGCGTTTGGAGGGTTTGACGGCTGGCAAACGGCAGGCTTGAACGCCAATAAAAAGCTATTGATGTATGGGCCTTGGTGCTTTGCCTGCAGGGTTGGGGCTCCAAAAAGGCCTTTGGAGGGTTTGGAGCGTTTGGAGGGTTTGACGGCCCGCTTGAATGCCAATAAAGAGCGATTGATATATGGGCCTTGATGCCTTTGCCTGCGGGGTTGGGGGTGCCAAAAAGGAGTTTGGAGCGTTTGGAGCATTTGGAGGCTTTGACGGCTGGCAAACGGTAGGCTTGAACGCCAATATATATGGGCCTTGGTGCTTTGCCTGCGGGGTTGGGGGTGCCAAAAAGGCCTTTGGAGCGTTTGGAGCGTTTGGAGGGTTTGACGGCTGGCAAACGGCAGGCTTGAACGCCAATAAAAAGCTATTGATATATGGGCCTTGGTGCTTTGCCTGCGGGGTTGGGGCTCCAAAAAGGCCTTTGGAGGGTTTGGAGCGTTTGGAGGGTTTGACGGCCGGCAAATGGCAGGCTTGAACGCCAATAAAAAGCGATTGATATATGGGCCTTGGTGCCTTTGCCTGCGGGGTTGGGGGTGCCAAAAAGGCGTTTGGAGCGTTTGGAGGGTTTGGAGGGTTTGACGGCTGGCAAACGGCAGGCTTGAACGCCAATAGAAGCTATTGATATATGGGCCTTGGTGCCTTTGCCTGTTTGGGCTCCAAAAAGGCGTTTGGAGCGTTTGGAGCGTTTGACGGCCGGCAAATGGCAGGCTTGAACGCCAATAAAAGCGATTGATATATGGGCCTTGGTGCCTTTGCCTGCGGGGTTGGGGGTGCCAAAAAGGCGTTTGGAGCGTTTGGAGCGTTTGGAGGGTTTGACGGCTGGCAAACGGCAGGCTTGAACGCCAATAAAAAACTATTGATATATGGGCCTTGGTGCTTTGCCTGCGGGGTTGGAGCTCCAAAAAGGCCTTTGGAGGGTTTGGAGCGTTTGGAGGGTTTGACGGCCGGCAAATGGCAGGCTTGAACGCCAATAAAAAACGATTGATATATGGTCCTTGGTGCCTTTGCCTGCGGGGTTGGGGGTGCCAAAAAGGCGTTTGGAGCGTTTGGAGGGTTTGACGGCTGGCAAACGGCAGGCTTGAACGCCAATAAAAAGCTATTGATATATGGGCCTTGGTGCTTTGCCTGCGGGGTTGGGGCTCCAAAAAGGCCTTTGGAGGGTTTGGAGCGTTTGGAGGGTTTGACGGCTGGCAAACGGCAGGCTTGAACGCCAATAAAAAGCTATTGATATGGGCCTTGGCTGGCATTGTTGCCGTGGACAAAAATATATAAAAAACTATTGATATGGGCCTTGGCCGGCATTGTTGCCGTGGCAAGCGACGAAAGAGTCAAGATCCACATCTTCGGTGTTCCCAGGCGCCGCCCCTGCCTTGGCAAAGGCCGGGGTCGGCGGATTTATTGATATCTTCAATGTCGCAAATTCTACGTGCAAGACACATCATGCAGATAACATTTTGTGGAAAACCACCCCCAGGTCTCGAAAGGAAGCCCGGAGAGTCCCTGCAACTGAACCTCAATATTCGAAGTGCTAGCAGGTCATTATACATGTTGACAAACACAATGTAGGAAGAGCATGCGGTACGTAATTTAGTGAGAAAGGCACGCTGTCTTGCTTCCAATCGCGCGTCTGTTTGTCAAAACGAGCAAAGACCTGGGAAAGTGGATGCTTAATTTGTTGGTTGCAAGTTTGGAAAAGAATGGATGCATTTCCAAGAGGAGTAAAGCATCCTTTTTTTCAGGAATGCAATAGGCTGTTTGTTTTAGGAAACGCCTTCTGAAAGGAATCGCAGTTTGTGACAGAAATGCTTCTGTTTGTGGCCTGACAACAGATGGACACCACCTTGTTGCCTTGCTAGCCACGATGTGGCCAACAGGCGGTACATCCTCTTCTGCTTCACCGTGGTCTTGAAGACATCTACTTTGTTCCTACTCCTTATCCCACAAATATTTGCCAGGTGCAGCTGTTGCTGGGTATTGGCAAGTCTTTGTGAAGCCAGCATTTGATCTTATTTGCCCATGATCCGCATGTGTTTCGCATGTGCAAACAGCGCCAGGGATCTTTGCTGCCCAAGAGGATCGACAGCATTGCAGTCATCAACCATGAGGCATGTTCTGCAATTTTGCAGTTCTGGATTCCTTGTTAGTGCCAAATGCACCACGTTGCAAGCCTGATGATCGCCCAACTTAAGAAGTAGTCAGAAATTGAATCATCCACACGTGCATCGCATCACCCCGACATTCGGGACTTAGATTGAAATCAGCCTAAGTTCTGGGATGGTCATCATCCAAGCACTTTAGTGGTTTGCTGTTGCATCGGCTACATCGCATTTGGTTGTGCTGTATCTTTCGGTGATGGGTCTTCTTGGAATCGCGCCAGTCCCATCAGGTTGTCGGTTCGATTCTGCACGCCACGGCTTTGGGTCCAGACAAGGTGCTGGAAGGCCTCGGTGAAGTGGCACAGCTTCTGCAGTCGAGGCACTGACGCACGGTGGAGAATCAGTGAGAGGGTGTTGCTTGGAAGGCTGGAAGGTAGTGGTGAGATTTTAGACACTAATATCACGGCATTATCACGGTTTGACAGTCAATTTGTTTTTTTATCCGAGAGAATCCAAGCAACCCAGCCGAAAGATGCCAAAACTATCCAGAACTAAACATGTTTTGTTTTGTTATCAACATTCCAACCTGTAACCAAAAGCCCACTCTTTCATGGCACAGCAGGTCTGTCAAGCCGCTGACCGTTTCACGGTATCACTCAGACAAGGCTGGTTGGGCTTGGAGTGGATAGCAGCGCAGCTAGCCCGCCAGGTCAAGCTGTCAGACTCAGACTTGCCAAGGTTTTCCAAAAAGATGACCAACCCGTTCTAGGTTGTATGAAGCTTGCCTTGCTTCATGCCCAAGTGTCGGACATCTTGCGCGTGCCACACAAAACGAAGTTTACATCCTCCAAAAGTGCGGAATCGATTGATTCTTTTGCGCGTGCGCAAAGAAAACATACATTTGTTGCAAGAGACAATGAATCGCCAAGTACCATGAGATACTGGAACCATAAAACGCCTTATTTTTTTGCAGAAGACTACTGCTTGTGTCAGATGAAGCAGAAAAGCAACAGTCGAACCGTTGGAGACTTTTCAGCCTGCGTCTTTCACCATGTCTAGCACTTTCCATGACCACATCTGGAAGTGCTCAACCGCAAAAAGAAGAGAACATAAGTATATAATAATAATAACTTTAAATAAATTTCGGCATGCAGGAAACTGTGGTTCCAGATCCAAACCCGTAACAAAAATATGCGCGTTCAAGACCGCTCAAGCATGTTTAAAACACACGTTCAAACACAGCGGCATCAAACCGTTCGAAAGACAAACCCACAATACGACTTGCTAGAGAACTTCAAGTCCCTGTAATGAATTTGTAATGTACGTGTCTTACGACTCCAAGAAGGATTTGGAAGAATTTACTTGTAGAACCCTTTCTCTTCTTGTGCCGATCCTGTGTGATGTGTAGTGCCAGGAAGAAGTTCTCACACCACGTGCACGGGCAAATGCTGAGATTCAACGTTTGAAGAAGCTCTCCTTGGAGCAGCAGAGGAACGGCGTTGCCCCGCTGCCAGTGGTACGCCTATGCTTTGTGGGGCGAGGCCGCGCAGGCAAGACAACCACCCTGAGACGGCTGAAGGGCGAACCATTCCGAGATGAAGAGCCTTCTACACATGGTTTAGATGTTTGGGCGTGTCGAGCTGAAGCAGATCTAAAAGCGGATGACAATCAAAGACAGCCATGGAAAAAGTGGGAGGAATCCATGCACCTCAGTGCCTTGAAGGACACATGTTCATTCGGTCTGTTTCTGGAATATTGACAATTTCTTTCCCCACTACGGCTAAGTATATTGTATACTGCATTTGTTTGTATGTATTCCATGAACGATTGTGTTGATCGCACGTGCCATCATGTTCCATTGGATTAATTACCAGTAGACGCAGCCTTTCAGCCTTGCTTCCCCTTCAAATTGATGTTTTTCAGAGGCCCTAGAAGGCAAGCCTTGTTTCCGCAATTTCCAGGGTGTTTTGCCGTTGTCTAACGCTTGCTTGTGCAACATTGACGTCTTGATGCTGCAGAGAGGACAAGCTTCAGAACCAGAATTCACCGAAGGCACGATTCCTTGAGAAGAACATGTTTCTGTCACAGATTCAACTACTTGCTCTCTTCATTTCAAGGGCGCTTACGCATGCCTTGGCAGCGATATAAACAATTATATGGTTATAGGTTTTTGTTGGCTTGTAGTTCCTTTTTGATGAAAGTGAGTTGTGTCTTTGACAATCAAGTCCACAACAGGATCTTTGGGCGTCTCACCTCAGCGGTGCTATTTCTTTCTGATGCTGCTGATACCCAAAAAATTGGGGTGCTCAAATCAATGCTGATTCAATTCATTCGCACTGCAGCAAGGCAGGAAGACCAAGCAGGGCAGCATCATGAAGACAAGAACAAACAGCATAACGCGGTCTGATGTAAAGAACATATTGGGCAGCATTACATGATGAGGTAGGAAGGTCCAACAGCGTAGCATGAGGTAGAGAAGATCAAGCAGCGTAGCATCATGAAGACAAGATCGAACAGCGTAAAATGATTTACAGAACATTAAGCAGTATAATAATAGGTAGGCCAAGGAAGCGTAGCATGAGCTAGAGAATGTCAAGCAGCGGAGTATCATGAAGATCAGATCAAGTAGCAACACATGCTACAGAGAAGACCAAGCAGCATAGCATGAGGTAGTTAAGGTCAAGCAGTTTAGCATGAGGCAGAGAATATCAGACAGGGTAGCATCATCAAGACCAGATCAAATGATCAAACAGCAAAGATTTGATATATAGAGAACATCAAGCAAGATGAGGTAGGGAGGGCGAAGCAGCGTGGCAAGAGGTAGAGAAGATCAAGCAACGTAGAATCTTGAAGACAGGATCAAACAGCCAAACATGATAATTATATAATATAGGGAACATCAAGCAGCGTAATATACGGAAGGGAAGGTCCAGCAGCGTGGCACTCGGTAGAGAAGATCAAGCAGCTTGGCATGACGAAGACCAGATCAAATAGCATGACATGATATGAAGAAGATCAAACAGAGAGAAGATCAAGCAGCGTAGCGCCTTGAAGACAAGAGCAATCATCGTAACATGATTTGGTGAAGATGAAGCAGCATAACATGACGTAGGCAGGACCAGGCAGCCTAGAAGAGGTAGAGAAGATCAAGCAGCATTGCATCTTGAAGACAAGATCAAACAGCATAGCATGTATAGGGAACATCAAGCAGCATAACATACAGAGGGAAGGTCCGGCAGCGTGACACGAGGCAGAGAAGATCAAGCAGCCTAGCATCTTTATGAAAACCGCAAAAAACCTAACGTGATATAGAGAACCTCAAGCAACATAACATGAGGTAGAGAAAGTCGAGAATGTAACAGGAGGTAGAGAAGATCAAACAGCTTGGCTTCATGAATACAGAATCAAATGACCAGAAAACAAAGTTCTGGTATTCTGGTATAGAGAACACCAAGCAACATGAGGTAGGGAGGGTGGTGAAGCAGCCTAGCATGAGGTAGAGAAGGTCGAACAATGTAGCATCTTGAAATTAAGATCGAATAGCTTAACATGATATACATGATATAGAGGACGCAAAGCAGGTTGACATGAGGTAGGGAAGGTCCAGCAGCGCAGCATGAGATAGAGACCATCAAGCAGCTTGGCACGACGAAGGCCAGATCAAATAGCATAACACGATATGGACAAGATCAAGCAGAGAGAAGATCAAGCAGCGTGCATCATGAAGGCAAGATCAACCAGCTTAACAACATGATTTGGTGAAGATGAAGAAACTAACATGATGTATGGAGGGTCAAGCAGCGTAGCGTGAGGTATAGAGAAGATCATTCAATGTAGCATCATGAAGACGTATAGTCATGAAGACAAGACCAAATAGCACAACATCATTCAATATAGAGAAGATCAAGCAGCATAACATGAGGTAGGCAAGGTCAAGCAACGTAGTGTGAGGTAGAGAAGATCAAGCAGCGTGGCATGACATGGAGAAGATCAGGCAGCATATCATGATACACTGAAAGGCATCCTCGCATGATGTGGCGTGAGACTATCAAGCATGCCAGCATGCTATGGTTAAGATCAAGAGCACAACATGATGTAGAGAAGATCAAGCAGCAGCTCAGCTTGATGAAGAGCAGCGGAGCGGGGCTTTAAGTATAGAAGGTCAAATATGTCAGCAACCGAGAGAAGATCAAGCTCTGTAAAATACTTGGATGGGCAGGCCTCTTGTATCTAGATGGCACAGTTGTATCTGCTTAGCGCACTTGTAAGTGTAGTTGTTGCAGTTAGCACAAGTTGCCTAAGTGCACTTAGTGAACTTGGGTATGTCGAACTTAGCTCACTTGGAGACGCACTTGTAACTTACTTAGCTAAGTAGGCTAAGTAGGTCGCATGGTGGAAAAAATATATTTGTTCATGGGGCTCCATGGTTTAAAAAAAATCGCGCGGGGCATGTATATACAGAGGATGCCTATAAACAACACACGTTTCTTAGACCTGTGAAACTAGAAAACACTTTCCCAAGGTGTAAAGTGAAAGTACCACGGGGCATGTATATACAGAGGATGCCTATAAACAACACACGTTTCTTAGACCTGTGAAACTAGAAAACACTTTCCCAAGGTGTAAAGTGAAAGTACCACGGGGAAATAATACACGTTCAAATTTTGTGGGCCACATGAAAACGATACCCCTCACGTGGTTTTGTTTCTTGATGGGCGGTATTTAAAAAGATGTTCCATCTTCCACCCTAAAAAAATGGACGGTTTTGATTTTTGAAAAATAGCCAAAAAGATTGGCATAGTTGAAAAACAATTCCAACCACATGTGGGCTCATGACAACCCATTCTGATATGGTTACATAAAAGGTGTAAATATAACTAACTAAGGCATCCCAGGGATGGAATATCTCACTGACATGTATATAGAGGAATCCAACGAAAAGATTATTCCCAATATTCTAAGAATTTCCCATCTCAATCTACTTGGTGTTGCCCTAAAACTTAGGTGTAAACCGCCCATAAAAACCAACTGATATTGCCCCACAAGGTATACAGCCACCAAATCTTTTATACTGTATTTCTAAAAACCACCAAAGCCCAAAGCATATTTGTATATATAATTGAATATATAATTTTATAATTATGTATATATATATATAATTAAATCAGAAAATTATATTTATATATATAATCAAATAAATATACAATCATATAAATATATAATCATATAAATATAATTATATATATATATACCCACCGTCACCCGGCGGCAACAGCTGCCCTGCGTGTGGCAGCCGCGGCAGCCTGCATTGCAGGCAGCATAGGGCTTTGTGGCCCCTGATTTGGGGTTGGGGATTAACCTATTATAATGGTGCCAAGATGGCATAGGTAATATTTACCACATATTTCTAAACCAGAGAAAAGGAAACCTGTTTCCTGGAAAGTAATTTTGTTTTTTTGATTCACCAATCAGCCAGAGCCTGCCTTGACAACAATCATCAGATACTAAGATACTACCAACATTTTTTTTCCAAGTTGTGTTGGTGACATAGTTTCACAGTTGCTTGCGCCTGCATCCTTTCCAATTTGCGACAGCATGTGGCTGGTTTGGGCTGTTCCCGTGTTTGCATTCAGACGCGTTGAAACAGCTTCCAATTTATTCATCAGGGCAAGGGATAGATTTGAATTCATCATTGGATAACCCAAAAATGACTTAGAATCAAGATCCGAAGGGTGGCCGGACCAGCTGCAACTGATGGAATATAATAGATGCTGAGCGTTTCCATGGGCTCCAAAAAACTTGATAGCATTCACTCAGCAAAATTGACCTATCGTTGAACAACAATACGCGTTTGGTCCATATACGATTCTATTATCGTTTAACAATAGGTTTGCCATTCTGGGGTATTTCTATTGTTGTTCAACAATAGGGCGGGAGATGGGGCTACCAACCTATTATCGTTCAACAATAGGGTACCTTTGGTGGCTCAATCCTATTATCGTTCAACAATAGGGTACCTTTGGTAGCTCAATCCTATTATCGTTCAACAATAGGCCATATATTTCAGAAAAGCTTGTTGTGGATTCACGGGGGTTCCAAGTTTACCTCATTACACTGTAAGCTATTGATTATAGATACACTTTCCAACTAAAAATATTGCACGCAAAGGGCCCTACATGGAAAACTTTTCCCGGTGGCTGAGCGATGCGGTGCTTGCTGCACAGACTAAGCAGCACCGTGACACTTCGTGAGGTGTCAAAACATCATAGCTGAAAGCAATCTGGGGTGGTTTGTGCCGACCTATGTAACCCCCAAAAATGGGCTAAATGTAGCAACCCTTGTTGGTATGGAAACAGCTGAATGGGAATCGAAATGCGTTCAATGGTTGTTAGGCGTAGTTAATTTCACTAGGCCTTGCAATCCCACTATTTACCCATGTTTCATAGTTAGTAAGCTAGCTCGTGCAGGGTTTCTTCCATTCACAATATATTACAGGGGAAACCCTTCTGATTGTTATCAGCACCCCAACAAAAAGCAAACAGTTCATGCCATCAAATCAATAGTTTAATACATTAATATATCAGACAATTTAACGTGATTTGCCAATGGGTCCGTGTAAATATGTCAAACTGCACCAAAATATGTTCTTTAATTGTTAATTATTGTTTTCTGAAAAATTATATATATATATATATATGGACACGTTTGAACATGGGCCTGGTATATGCCCTCCAAACTGTTATTTGAGAAACCAAGGAATAATCCATTGACATTGGAAATGCCATTTTCAGACACATCCATATATATATATATATATGTAACTCTTCAAAACCCTGCCACCACAATCGGGCAGTTCATATTGCCTGCATTTGCAGGCAGCCGCGGCGCCAATGCAGGTCCAGCCGTGCCGGGGCGTGACGTTGGCCCCGGTGATATATATATATATATGTGTGTGTGTACATATGCATATAGTATACATCCTTGTAGATGTATGTATGTCTGAGTGCGTATAAAGACACGTGTAAATGTGTAATTTATATGTGAATCTGAATATTTATATATACAT